TAGCATATTTTTTGTAAGTTCTATAGCTTTAATGATGTTAATTTTTATAATAAATCGTAATTTCTCTATTGTGTTGTTTAATTTACTAAATTTGACGTACATAATGAACTATGATTTGTACCTCAAAGTACATACACATATATATATATATATATATATATATATATAATAAAAAATATATGTGTATATAACATATAGAATGTTATCATTGGATCCGTAATTTGTCGGATTACAAGGTAGTCTTTTGTAAAAAAATCCGGACTATAGGGTTCTTAGGCAGTACTCTATAATCCGACAAATTCGTTAGTTCGACACTGCCCTGCAAAATGTTTGTCGGTTTACCGGGGGTCCACTATATATATAACGAAAAATATTACAAGCCTTGCAAAAAGCAGCTACATTAGTTTATTTTAGTTATTATTCAAAACACACACTATATCATAAGAAAAATTGCTATATGGTAAAGCGAATGATGGCTTGTAAAGAATTGTTCCTGGTCTAGATGTTTGTCTAATTTTAATTAACATTTTTAAACTGCCTCCACGATATACAAAAAATCTAATTTGGGGAAAATGTATCAAAATTTCAATGGGTTTGTTTGCAAAGATATCACCCAGTCAGTTTTAGAACGTATCCGGTAGATAAAAAAATCCTACATGGAGAGGGCTTCCCTCGGGGTGTTACTGCGTGATGAACTTAGAAATGAGGATATCCGCAGTAGAACCAGAGTAACGGACATAGCCCAACGGATTAGTAAGCCGTAGTGGCAATGGGCCGCCCATATAGCTCAAAGAACCGACAACCGGAGATGGAGAAGAAAGGTTCTCGATTGCCAGCCTCGTGATGGTAGCCGAAATATAGTGCGGCCAACCACTAGATGGACTGACGACCTGTTCACACATTCTGGAAGCTGATGGATGCAGGTGGCTCAGGACCGTAATTTGTGGCATTCCTTTGGAGAGGCAGCAGTTGACTTGTGAAGGACTGTTATGATGGTGATGATGATGATCGTCGGTATTAAAGGTTAAAATCAGCGATTGCAATTTTAAATATTAATTAATAGTAATGATTCTCATTGTGCATTTTCAAATAACCTATCAACTGTTCGACAATAAAAGCACTTAAACTACTTATATTCGTTGTTCTTTTGATAATCACAAAAACTTACAAATTATTCATTTTCGAAACAATTTATGTAGACAACCATTTTTAAAAACATTCAGTCCAGTATGTACGCTCTTTAAATTAAAAGTTATGTACTAAAAATTAACTAATTATAATAAAGTTTAATATAGTTACTTAACGTAGTGATTTTTTTATAAAATAAAAATAAAAACTTTGACTTTGCACGAGCTTCATTATATTGAGGGGCAAATGGCCCCATCCGATGAATTTATCACATATACTATCTACATTTGTAGATATAGTTACGCTACTGTGTTATCTATATTTAAAACTCACACAGTTCTAGCTATGTGTTATATTTTTTTACAAAGTAAGAACCTGTTATTATCCGAAAGGAATGCTGTTGGTTCTGTAAAAAATAAATAAAATAAACTAAATTATATTTGTCCAACAATCAATTTCGGTACTGTTAAATACTAATTGGAGTAGATTAGGAACTGGACGCTTGCTGTAAATTTCATAGTGAGAACAACTCGAAGTCGATTTCCGCTACCACCACTAAACTATTAATCGTAAATATTATCTGATGAGTCACACCGTAAATCGGTTGTCTTTGCCCAATAGTGGGCCATTTATAGGCTGATGTTTTTTACTACTGATAATTTCAGTTATGATTATGTACTTGATGCTACCGTACGTTATTAGTAAGGATGATTAAACAGTTCTTAAATAGGGTATAGTGCTAGTATAATTTTATCTAAACAAATCTTATGTAGTCGTAAATTTGCCAAAAATTCTCATAGGTAATATTCATCCTTAAGCTACAGGTTTTTTGTAGTCTGATTGATCACAGTTTTAATAAATTGAATAGAATATGAAAATTATATTTAACCCTCTTAGTAATATAATTTTTTTTTAAATTAAATTTTCATATTCTATTCAATAATATTGTAGCAATAATATTTAAAGTATGTACTATAAAATGTTATGGCTGTGAATAATATGATTGTAACGATTTCCTATATTTACCATTATATACCATTTTACCAACTCTGTAGGTATTCTGCAGTTTATGATCAACGAAGCGCATCATTAGATTTAATAGACCACATACCTCACGAAATAAGGTGAATTATGATACGGTGACGTCAAACACCATGGTTACAGGAGGCCTGTGACAATGGCAAGACACAGCAAAGCACTTCAAATGTCGGGAGTTCAGAACGTTACTAAGATACATTTTTATGTGTTTGTAACAAAATAAATATGTTCTTCCAATAAATCACCCGAGTAACCAAAAAAGATACTTTCATTTTGCATTATACCCATTCAGTCGGATTTTTACTGAAGTTAGGATATTTCGACCCTTTTTTAAACTTATTCTGTATGCTCGCATTAACATGTCAAAGATACAAGAGATCAAAGATAGGTCATTTATATTGCCTACAGATGTGACTAACTCGATGGTAGTATAACAGATTTTACAACTTTTATTTTACTTCACTTAAATATATGATACGTGAAATGGTGTACTTTTCCGGCGTGGCGCTACTCATTCGTTTATTACCGCCATTATAACAAAAGTTTACTGCTGGACGTAGGCCTCCTCCATAGACTACTTCATATAGAGGAGATATTTGTTGTTGTTGATACAGAAATATGCTGCTACCTATCTCTGTTCAGTTTCTCTTTGTTCCCTCTAATGAAACCTACAGGATTATATGGGGTAGTAAAATCTCTCACGGCGCCACTACAAGACATGCTAATATTTATTTATGGTAGCTATATATTTTATTTTTATATTTATTAATACAAGAGAAATATAACTGCTTGTAAATACCGTAAAATGAGCCCACTTATGTAGGCACTCAATAATCGAATCAAGTTTCAGATTCATTAAGGGATGCGGATGTTTATTTTGGAAATAGCAAGAGAAAATTTTCCTCTTCGTGGTATCATGTCCCATGCACACTTATAGAACAATATCTGATATATTTATGAAAGAGCTCGACTATTTTATCTTTACTTTTTGGATGTAAAGATAAAAATTCGGTAATTTAGGATAAGAGAATATGTTCACACACTAACTACTGATTCTATAGTAATTACTACTTCAATACAAACTAAAATATATAAACAATCTCGAGCTAATAGTACCCATTAGCTCGAGATTGTTTATATATTTTTCTACACTTTGAAAACTGTCCGCCTACTACGATCACTTTCATAAAAAGGATTTTAGTTTTGCTTTTAGGTTTGATTTTCAGGTTTTCCGTAATTATGTTACTTGATAGGCGACAAAGTGATACATATGGATTCACACTTTTGTCCTCACAAGACATGTCAGCTGATGCTACTACCCATGTCTTATTTTAACTAGAAAATAAAAAAATTGCGATTGCCAATCCCTCAAATGATTATGAGCAATCAATAGAGAGGATGTTAGGAGGATGATCCATTACTGCCTATAAAAGTTCACTGCTAAACATAGGCTTCCCTCATAGATTTCCTCATCCGGAGATTTTGCCACAGTTGCCACAGTTGGCAGAAAGTGGTCTTGCGTGGTAGAGCCATGCTGCAATCATATTAGTAGTATAGTTGTAGCATGAATGGGTCGGCTCGACCGGGGAGGACCACGCTCTCACAGAATACTAGCGTAATATAGTAGCATAATACTGCTGTGTTTCGCATGGTGAGTGTATAGAACCGGAGACCCTTTTTACTGGAAACGAGGCATTCCATCTTAGTCCTCACGGGTGATTACACATCTCCATTTTGATTCGTAATCGAGGATAGATGTAGACGTCTATGGGCCACAGCAAGCACTTACCATCAGGTGGACTGTGTGCTCGTTTGTTACCCTATCCTATAAAAAAGGTAGGTAGGAAGTGAAGTGTTATCAGGAAGATGTTGGTGCCCATCTCCTAATTTGCTTATCCTTGTCGCTATTGGATAAAATTTTATGATTAATTCTAGGCTGTATGCAACAAAACTTTTACTGTGCACTGTGTGTCTCAAAGAGTCAAAGTCAAACTTGATTCACGTTAACCAATTTTCGCATCGTTTTTCGGTATCAGTTCGCTTTTCCTTCGTATTTGTGTATTATCGTATTATACTTTTATTTAATAAGCTTCGTAGCCGCACGCAGTGCTCCACTAATTATAAACGGTGTAATACATAAGTTTAATAAGGAAAATGGACCTTCTACAAGTGTATGCTAACTGTGGTATCGCTGATAGAGAATGCATCAGGCGACATGTAACATCATCATTACCTCCTGATATGACTGTTCTGTTGATAAGAGTGGTTAACTTTTGAGGTAAGCTCCATTTTCGCTAAGTAAAATATTTATAGACTTATTTACCTACAACATTTACAAGAAGAATAAAATTAGGATATTATTTGCCCTATAATCATAATTCAACAGCTTATAATCTTAGATTAATGCTTACTTATTTTTCTTTCCCAGTTGTCACCTTATAGCTCCGTCTGCGGTGCCTGCTATGACACGATAACAAGATGCCTTGCAACAAATTCAAGGGAAAGTCAACTTGGTCACAACAATGTTGGCTATGACTGTAGCAGATCTGCAAGAAAACAGATCATTCCAGAATTTAGCTCTCTCGTCTAAGTTGTATCGTCATGGCATAACAATGTTAGTAATTATTTTCATTATTTTTTCGCATCTAAATTTTGATTCTTAATCGAGGATAAATAGGTAGATCTATGGGCTACAGCATCTACTTACCATCAGGTGGACTATATGTTTGTTTGTCACCCATATTCTATAAAAAACTCACTCTGCAAATAAGACACAATAGTTAAACAATCACTGTAACCCATATGTGGTATTGTCAATCTCTAAACTCGAATATTTATAATGGTGCTGTACTGTTAACTAAAACTAACTTCTCAATATAATCAATCTGAATAAAAGCTGTTAACTTTCCAAAATACATATACAGTAACATTAATCTTTATTTTGGGTTTTCAACAGTTTGTTTCATAAATGAAAGTGAACAATGTAGTAATGTTTTAATTTTTTTTAGGCTATAGCGGCCAACTTTTTGCGTCATGGTTGTTATGTGAGAGCTAACACAGAAATCATGCAACAAGGGAATGCTCTATTAAAGTAATTGGTTTAGAGTCTAACGAGTTAACTACTATCTTACTGCATCCCTCATTATCAAATTTATAGACCCCAATTAACACGCTATGTTCGAAACAAGGTTTATGTTTCCATACCCCCCTCAACATACAAGACTCCGACAAACTTTGGCTTGGTATAAACTTCAATAAGCGAAATAACACAAACATTAACGTTTCTATCACAAAATAACTCAACCTTATAGTTAATGGTTGCATTATTACACAATTTTGATAAATTAAGGGTATCGCTAGTCTTCTGAATAATGACATGCGGCTGCTCGGTAAATGTCTGGCCTATATAAGCGGCGGTTAACGGCCTCGTTAGTCTAGTGGTCCAACAAAATCAATTATTGAGTTTTTCCGTCAAAAAATTCTCAGTATATGCCCGGAGTCAGGATGTTGGCGGTATCTCGCCCCCGTGCCTCGGAAAGCACGTAAAGCCGTTGGTCCTGCGCCTGATCTCTCCCGGTCGTGTCGGTTTACCGTAGTGAGGGAATAGAGAGTGCACCTGTGCTGGCGCAATACACTTGTGCACTATAATTCTATCCTGCGCCGATGGCTAGCCTCCGTTGACGCAGGCTGCCGTGACCGAACTTAAGTCTGGAGGACATTATTATTATTATATAAGCGGTACAGTCATAACGTCATCCGGGACAATCAGCAGTTCAACATTGGCCTCAACATCATCTACTATGATTTTAACAGTAACTTTACCCAAGGATCTTACAACGGCGTTACCAAAACCTCTTAGGGTGGGAAGGAGGTTATGAATATTTATTTATAATATGGCCTTACAATCGTAGCATCGGGCCGTATTACCAGTGGTGTGTGATCTAAAATTCAGGACCCTATCTAACCTGCGAATGATGCTTCTAGAATTTCTCAAGTAGCTCAAAAGTTTGTCCAAATCATCATACTGTACCGTTTCCGCTCCTAACCGTACTGATCGATCGTATATATAGTGCAGTACGTATTCAACTATTCTTTTCCCATTTATACTGCACCGTAAAAGTATTCCTCTAACGAGCCCCCAAATCTACCACGTCTAGCTAACATATCACTAAGCATTTCCCCAGACGGAAATGCGGACAATAATTTAGATTGCCACTCTAACCAAGAGAAGAGTACAGATGGCAATCCTTCGTACCACATACCACCTTTGTGCCACGCCTTTCAGCTTCGGGAGAGCGAAGTGTATTGTTTGTCGTTCGCTCCAACCATATACGGTTGCACACTCGTTAACTTTATGTAAGCACATAGTAATTGTTTGCTCCTTCCTAGCTGGGTCATATTTCGGTATCATATTAATAAATGAACTTATCCTATCTGAATCTGAAGGCGTTAGAGATTTCAATGCGTGCATTAAAAGTTTAAGACTATTAAGAATTATACATTGCGGGCTCATGAACACTGAAGTTACCTTGCATTTCAGTTCTGGTGCAGCTATTGCGAGGTAAGTCGCGTCGCCGAGGGCTGTCAGGAGAACGGCTAAAGTGACCATCCATTTGATCACGAGATGTGCTGCGCGGAGAACCAACTCTTTGATGTTGGATGTACGATCAGTCATTACCACGCCTGTGGCGATCGCTAAGCTGACGGCTGCGGTGACGGTGTCGCGACTGGCTGCACGATGGCAGTCCGAGTAATCGAAACCTAAACTCATCTTCCACCTATGCACTAGATGCCGCTTGCAGTAAAACAAAGAAGAAAAATATTCACATTATTGGCGATGAACAAGTACGAGGCCTAGCAGAAAAAATGAAACATCAGCGGTACGGAAAATTGGACGATATCTATAACGTTTGTGGAATAATGAAACAGTTTGCGTCAAGCGCACAGGTACTAAAAAGTAGCGAAAATTTACACGAATATTTAACTCAGGATGATATATTAATTTTATCAGTGGGGTCTAATGATAAAAATCCCTATGAAATAATAACAAATATATGTAATGCCTTATGTAATTTGAGAGAATGTAAAATATTTCTGTTAATTATACGGCACAGTAATTACTTAAATGTCCAAAATTTAAACGCTGAAATTAATTTTATTGTAAAGAATTACAAAAATTGTACTTTTCTTATATTACCATAAAAGGAAGTCCATACAGAACTCACATCTTTCAAAAAAAAAGATAACACAATAAAATGCCCAAAATTAGAAATAATCTCGTGTAAAAGTGATCAAATAATTTATCCTCAAAAAAATAATAACACTCCATTACCTAAAAAGGGCACAATACCGTTTTACTTTCCCAGCTAAAGAAACGTTTCCAACATTGTTATAAAATCGCTTAACAAATACGTACAGGATTGTTTTCGTGCCTATATAAATTTGTTATTTAAAAAAGAGGTGGCACCTGCATATTAGTTAAAAAAGGGATAGCATATAAAAGAAATTCCATTTGTAATGATAACAATACAACAAATTTTCATTTTGAGTGCTGCTCCGTATCGATTCCTCTACAAAACGTTATAATTGTTTGTATCTACCGAGCCGCAACCGCCACATTTTGAAACGTTTTTTGACAATTTTGAACTATTACTTAGTAAACTTTTGTTCAAATATCCGAAACAAAATATTTTTTATTGTTGGAGATATTAACATTAACACTCTATTGAATAATAATGTGACCACACATCTCCAAGAAAATCTTAAAAACTTTAATATAAACCAGCATATAATGGTGCCCACTAGAAGACTGTCATGCATTGACCATATATTCAGTAACATAAATGGTGCAAGTGGGACTGTTCTGCCACTTTGGTTGTCAGACCATGACACTGCTCAGGTGATTAGTTTTAACACAAAGTTAAAAAATGTACCACCAAAAGTAATACATAATTATAAGAGATGCTATTCTACTGAAAATATTGAAAAATTCAAATCATACCTGGCATGTATCTCATTCTCAGAAGTATATAGTGAGGAAGAACCAAATGCAGCATGCAATGAATTCCATGACTGGTTCTGTTTACTTTATAAACTTTGTTTTCCTGTCTGTAAAGTTTATTCTATTAAGTAAGTACTATTATAAGTTATTAAGGAAATCTATATTCCAAGCAAAAATACAAACAAATAATAAAAACGTATTAAAAAGCAAAAATATTTGTAAGGCTACATGGAAAGTAATACAGGAAGAAATTGACACTAGACTGCAGTATAATAATTATATAGATTCCATTGAATATAAAAACAAAGTTATAAATGATCCAACACAGATAGCGTCTATTTTTAACAATTATTTTGTTGAATTGACAAATAAAGAAAATGCAAACATATTACGAGAAAGTCCTAATGACATTATAAATAATTCTATTTATTTGACCCCCATTGACGAATATTACGTTAGAAATATAATTTTATCACTGAATAATACAAATTCAGAAGGCTACGAGGAGGTATCTACAAAGATTATGAAGATATGTAATAAACAATTAGGTGCTGTTTTGGCGTTTCTGATAAATCAGTCAATGGTAACTGGGATATTTCCAGACAAATTAAAATTCTTCTTGGTGAAGCCATTATTTAAAACGAGTAAAAAAACACTCGTAAGTAACTACAGGCCCATTACGCTGGTTCCTATCCTATCCAAAGTGTTTGAGAAGGTTATACATGAAAAACTTACATCGTTTTTTGATAAATATCAGGTACTCCAAAACAATCAATATGGATTTTGGAAAAGTAAATCCACTACACATGCGGTATATGACTTAGTGAATGGGACCCTTACGCAACTAAACGCCAAACAATATACGACGGCGTTCTTCTTTGATATGTCGAAAGCTTTCGATTTTGTTTCTCATGATCAACTTCTAGCAAAGTTGGAGCACTGCGGCGTTAGAGGCACTGCTTTGAACTTCATCAAAACATACTTGCAGAATAGAATGCAATCAGTCGAAATTGCAAAACTCGACTCTAACCATGTAACTGAAAATCACAGATCTGAGTTTAGGAAAAACGAGTTTGGCGTTCCACAAGGAAGTATCCTGGGACCTCTTCTATTCCTGATCTATATTAATAATCTCCCAAATGTGACCAAGTATCGATGTATCCTATTCGCTGATGATATATCTGTAATTGTGACAACTGATAAAAAACTAACATTAAATGACCACAAAAATGACATCAGTGAAACTATAATTCAAAAAATTGCTCAGAAATAATAATTTAATTATTAATATTGAC